TTCGTGAACAAAGGCTCGGAGAGCCTGGAAACGAGGAATTTACTCTTTTGCGTTACTCGAGGAACAACTGTGTCGCGTCAACTGATTCCCTTGGGAGTTACTGCATCACGGGCGACGAGCGGGGATAGAAAAAACGACCCAAATAGGAGTGGTCAGCGGTGAAACAACTTTCATACTTCATATATAGACAGATCATTTGTAGTATCAGGAAACAATCGTGTTGTAAAGCCGAAGTGTGAACAGTTTACTTCGCTAAATAAAATGTTAAGCAATTCAAAAGTGTTGATTGTACATATATCTTTTACTGCTTTAATAAACAACGAAGGCATCGGTGGCATCCGAAAGGTACCAAGAAGAATTAAATGTACGTTTTGTAGTTGCAGAAAACAATCGTGTTGTAAAGCCGAAATGTTACCAAGTTACACTTCGCTACTTAAAAAGTTAAGCAATTTTCCTCAAGCTTTTACTGGAACAATACTTTTAATGCTCTATTAACCAACGGAGGCATCGGGAAAGGCATTGGTGACACCGGGAAAGGCATCAAGAAGAATGATATTCACGTTATGTAACTTGTTGTGTGACGAAAAAAACGTATCTTGACTTGTTCAAAGCATTAATCACAGTTGGCTTCCTTTTCACTTGAATTTTGTATCCACAGCCTAAGATGAGAAATTTAAAATTTCTATCAGCTGAAGTTCTTTTACTGCATATTATATCTATTCAATCGCCCCAATTCACGTGGAAAAAAAAGGCAAGTAGGAAAACACTGAGCTTCGAGAAACAGCCATGTTAAGGCTAATGTATTTACCATTCCTTAAATATTTACAATCAAGACCACTCGTTTAGGAGACCATTTCTCAAAAGATCCACACGTGTAAATAATGCTGTTTTCCGTTCGAAATGTTTTTCTTCCTATTCAATTGAACAACTGACTTAGCGTTTAAGCCGAGAAAAAAATCACAAAAGTTTGAATTCTGGGATGTTGTCCACTGTTGGCTCCATCAAGTTACGATTCTGCACCATTGACGCTCGTGAAAATCTATCTTAATTGACTACCAAGGACTGTATTTCTTATCTTGCAAATTAAGGTCTGTACATGACATTAAGTTCATCATCTGGTTCGTTGTTATAGTCAGCTTTAAAATTTAAACTCTACTTGTGCTGACAAGAAGCCACCCTAAGGGCAGGTGAAATGTTGCGTAAGCGTCTCCGCGAAAGGCACATCCAGACAACTTGCATGGAAAAACTGGCCGCAGCTATCGCACCCAAGCCAATCCTCTCCATCGTCGTCTTTGCAAATCTTACAGACCGCGGTATTTCTCCTATAATTGAACAAAAGATGTGGGACGTCAAAGAGAGTGTTGCGGCGTTTAAGAAACAATGGTATTTGACACCATCAAAACTTACCAATCAAGGTCATCATAACACGAGCCAAATATGACAGACTTTATTCTTTCCCTTTCCATGTCCACATCGTAACTTCCATTGATATCCAACCCCTCACACAAACACCGAGCAAACTTAAAACAAACAAAGAGAAATTTAATACATTCGAAACCAGGAAGCAGTCCTATTAAAGTGAGCTTTAGCAAGTGATTATGCTACTCACAAGACATACAATCACACCACAGTTATAGCTATCGGTCTGTGTGTAATGTAGTGGTCAACACATAGCCATGACTTGCAATTCCATCCCGTTTTGAGATCAGCAACGGCACTGCAGAGTCAAACAAAATACAGCAATTACATAAGTATGTTTTGTCTGCATGCATCAAAATAAAAAGGAAAACATTGAGTTGAAAATATTTCACCTGATGTCATCGATCAGTTCTATCAGTTTGCTCTTAGGAACTGAGGTGCTCAAAATTGTGTGTACACGCCCATTCATGGGATCGAAATAATATCTGGTTTTCTGCTTTCGATCCAGAACCTTTAAAACATAAGCAAGAGAGCGCTTAAAGATTTATTTATAATGCAAAGTCCAGTTAAAAGGTTCTTGATTAAAGTGCGTTATTCAAAAAGATTATTATCGTAAGGTCCTAACCAGAAGTGTCCAGTGATTTCCAGACTTGTTCATGGGTATAAATATTTTAGAAATCTGGGTAAAGTTCTCTCCTGACCAAAGCAAGCGAGTGCTGGAATGTCGCTTTACCATTTCAGCCATAGTTGTGTCTGCCACAAAAATGTCTCTGTGGATTAAGGTCAGGCGCCACAGAACTGCTTCGATAACTTTTGAAAAAATGAAAAAGGAGAGCATTTCATGTAGGAAAGTTGTATGGAGAAGACACTCTATGTTAATAAAAAAAAGCACCTTGTCCACAAGCCAACCAGGCTGAAATCCCGCTATTGTACTGTTAAAGTTTATATTTCTTTTCGCAACCTCTGGATGGATCAATGTCCATGCATCAGAAACGGTGAGCTTGGCAGGTCCGTCGTGGAACATGATTTCTGTCATCTTCAGGCCCATTTTACTAGCGCGTAACAGTCTTGCGGTGGGTTCACCTTTCAGCTGTTTCACTGGCAGCACAGCGCTTCCATTCCTAATAACAGCAAAATTCCAATGCGAATTAGCATTTAAACTAACCGTATTTATCAGAGAACTTATGGCCTAACCTTAGCGTTTCAAGATCTAAACGGGTAGTGTTTGCTTCATCATCCTGCGAAACAGTCTTCTGCTCTCCGTCACCACTCGCAGTTAAGTCTGCAACTAACAAGTTGGTTGCCTGAAATAAAATTGTATTGGTTCATTAGAAAACAGTCATTGATAGAGAGTGAAAAGCTAGGCTTCGTAACTTGATGGCCAGATAAAAGCAAGCCTAGCATGAATTTTTAAGGCGTAATACAGAAAGGTTAGTTATGTTTTGCTTTACGAGGTCGTAGATTTTGTCAACTACACGTTTATCGACGTATTGTCCTATCGTGGACGAGTCCCCGACAGGGTGGTTGACATGGGAAGACCTTAACGGGATCTTTACGTGGAACCGAGTCGAAGTACGGAAACTAATTCCCTAAGTCACTCTTCGATTTGGCATTGATTTCTTTTAGAATAGCCTTCTTAGCCATCACCAAGCTATTATCTGATAGGAACTTTGCTTTGTCGATGAAGTAATCGTTGTACACCCGAATACATCGAATCTGCATGACTACCGGGCAATCCAATTTTCTCGAATTCTGCAAGTGTGTTCTAGTTTTTCTTGCATAGTCGTGTACATTAGCGTAGTCACTCTTGCAGGTATAACTTCCTCGGGCATCCTAATTGGTACAGAAGATTTTAATACAGGTGTGTTCTACGAGAGCAAAATGAAATTACATTCTTCTCCCAGCTGCGATATCATCTTTGATTTTCACTGACTTCACTACTATTGCCAACACCCTTCCCCCTCATATTTCTTTGGGTAAATTGGTTATGAAACATATAACTTAAAACTCCTGTAACATTTTGATCCTCGTAAAAATAAAATTAATCAGTCCATTTGAATAAGCTTAAATTCAACCTCTTGACTCTCAGTTTCCGTTATCATTTCTCGATTGATCTCTTTTTTTACTTAAAATTTGAATGTTTGCTAATCCATTTACTGTAATTGTAACCAACCTTTGTGGATCCATGTATACAATGTCGAGTTTCACTGCTAGAGATTGAAAAGGGATGGCCAAACAACTGTATGGGGACATTTCCGCGGTTGTTTTCAAATACGGGAGGTGCTGTCAAATGAAATCAGATAGAGTTGTTAAGCAACATGCCTTATTTCCGGTTTACATGTAAAGGTGTCAATAAGAGCCAGACCTTTGACCCAAACCTTTGCGCCAAAGCCACTGTTCGCTGTTTTTAAACCAAATAGACCTTTTAGGTAGAGAGAAATGAATAAAAAAAAATAACAACAGCAATAACAACAAACACAAAGAAACTAAAATGAAATATAAATAGGTAGTTCAGACGCAGCTTCTCGCAAATCGCGTAAGACTGCCTTTGAAGAAATTTACCATAAACTCTGAAAGACGGCGATTCTTCTCAATTAAATTATCTCTGAATTAGGAGAGTCAGGATAGGAAACCGGAATCTGTGCACTTTAAAACACTGAGAGATTATATACCTGTTTGAGAAAATCTGTTGTGGTTTTTCTCTTTTGAATGGCTTTCTGTAAGTACATAACACGTGGAGTTCAATGCCTGAAATGAAACTAACAGATCATCCATCTCTGCTCTGTTTCCCTCGAAATATCCAAAACAATAATTGCCTTCAACAGAAAAGCCATCGAGATGTTCTTTCAAAAAGTCGATCTCTAAATCTCTTAACATTGTTGGCTTTTGGTCTTCATCCATGGCAAAATCTTCCAGGAAAAGCAAACTACAGTGCGAAAACCAAGTTCCTGCCAAATTTGATTGACATTTTTGACAACCGGAAATCATGATACTTTTCTTTCGTCACGCACGTCACGCAGTTAGCTACAAACCATATATATAATTATTCTTGGTGCCTTTCCAAATGCCACTGACTCCCTCTCCGAAGCCTCCATTGTTTATTAAAGCAGTAAAAGATATGAGTTCAATCAACACTTTTGAAAAATTGCTTAAACTGTGAAGTAAACTGTTAACATTTCGGCTTTACAACACGATTGTCTCTGGAACAACAAATTATATGTCTTTATATGAAGTATAAAAGCTGTTTCACCGCTGACCGCTCATATTTGGGTCGTTTTTTCTATCCCCGCTCGTCGCCCGTGATGTAGTAACTCCCGATTCCCTTAAAGTCAAAGGTTTATAGTATTCAATAGAGTTTAATTTGTGAAGAGAACTGAGAGCAAAACCTAGCAATGGCTGCTGAAGATAATTGACAGACGAAACTTCCAACTTTCGTCGAAAGAACTGCGTTCATTTTCAACAGCAAGATATTGAGCGATGTGAAGTTTGTTGTTCCTGTGTCGATTGGTGAAAGTGAAAGTAAGAAGGTGATCCCAGCTCACAAGTTTGTGCTCGCAATCGGTAGTCCTGTGTTCTTCGCCATGTTCTATGGTCGAATAGCGGAGACTCAAGACTCTATTGAACCGCCTGACTGTGAGTACGAGAGTCTGTTGGAGTTGTTCCGTTTCTTGTACACCGACCAAGTGAATTTAAGCGGAAGTAATGTCATGCAAGTGCTGTACTTAGCGAACAAATATCTGGTGCCCTCGCTTGTCAAGAAATGCAAAGAATATCTTCGAAGCAACCTGATAGCATCGAACGTGTTTTGTGTTCTGCCGCACGCACAGAAGTTTGAGGATAAAGACTTAGAAGATCGATGCTGGAATGTAATTGAGGAGAAGACCGAAGAAGCGATGACGTCAGATAAATTTGTTACAGTTGAGCGATCAGTAGTCGAGTCTGTTGTGAAGAGAGAATTGTTAAATGTGACGGAAGTGGAACTGTTCAAAGCTGTTAATCGCTGGGCCACAAAAGAATGTGAAAGGCAAGGTGTGGCTTCCGATGGAGAGACAAAGAGACGAATTCTTGGAGAAGAAATTGTGAAAGGAATACGCTTTCCGTTGATACCACAGAAGGATTTTGCATCTGTTGTTTATGATTCGCGAATCTTAAATTACGAAGAGCTTGGAAATATGATAAAATACTACAACGGTATTTCAACTACTCCTTTGCCGTTCTTACAAGCCAGTAGAATGGATTCCACTATGCACCGATGCTACAGGTTTCAAACGTTTAATTCCCCAGGGAACGCTGGTGGTACAGTGGAAATACTGACTGTATCATTCTCACCGCCAAGAAGCCTGTTAAACTTTACGGAGTTCAGCATTTTGGCTCCGAGAGCGGCGAGTATACGGTTACAACAGACATTGTTGATCCCGTGGACAACACTTCGCTTGTGAGTCGAACGGGAAATTATACTTCAGAAAAAAGCGATACCCATGCTTATTACCGCTTTGATGTG